TCACTGCCGAGGTGGTGGGCGCCGACGATGTGGATGCTGGAGGCGGCGCCATGTTCGTCGGCGACGAGTGAGAGTGAGTGGGTGAACGACTTTATTGAACCAAATTACTTGGCCGCAAGGCCTAGTACCGTGGGTTCGGGGTTAGGGCATGGGGAGTATGGGAGGGTTGACTCTTCTTTGTCGTAGTCGGGTTCTCGGCAGGCCCGTACGAAAATGTCAGATTCAGGCCGGAATGCAAAATGCCGGTTCCGCCTAGACCCAAAATTGGGGCACCAGTTTGTATCCAGCCTGGAACCGCGCATTTCCAGCCCCAATTTTAAACCCAGGCGGTGCACCGCCGGAATTCTCGCTGCGCTCACCACTGGACTCTACAAAAGAATTTCGTATTATGCCCTTAGCCGTTACAAGCGAGAGATCGTCGCGATTTCAGACCCAGTCGGACTGGGTATGAAATCGCGACGACCTCTCGTTTGTAACGGCTAAGGGCATCACGCGAAGGACTTGTAGAGTCCAGTGGTGAGCGCAGCGGTAATTCCGGCGGCGCACAAGCTCGTCCAGGCGTCGTCGCGTCGTCATTATACACGGTGCACGGAACACACACACACAGCACGCGCCAGCACAGTACAGTATCCTGTGTTGGAGTGCATCAGGAAGTTCCGGCGGGCAAGCGGTATCCAAGTTGTCCAAGTATTTGCACCAAGCACACCAGCGCCAAGCGCATCCAGATGCCGAGCCAAAGTGCAATGCACAGTTAGTATCCGCTGGTATCCGTGCGCCCGCAGCGCGAACGTCGCCACCGGGCGAGCGCCCATAGACAGTCCGACGAGAGCGAAGAAGAAACTAAACTGACCAAACCGACCAAACTCGCAGCGCTGCGCTGCCGCCGACTGCAACAAACAACAAAGCCAGGCGCGCGCGCGGAGAACGCCCGCTCGCAGCGCCTGCGCAACGGATGCGCCTGTCCCTAACACGTGACCTGCGAGAAACCGCGGAAATTCCCCGCAGCCCCCCCCCCCCCCTCCCCCAACCCTCCCTCCCCTCCTCCAGTCACGCATGTGCGCGCCCGCTGGCTGGGAGCAGACTCTACTGGAACAAGGGAGCGGTTCGGATCCACCGAACACCGTGCGATTCTAGTGCGTTGCGACTCCCAGAATCGCGCGGATCGGAACTGTCCACAAGTTTAAAATCCCGCGGATCCAAACTGGAACCGCTCCGATCTGACATTTTTGTACGGGGGTTTTCAATTTCTTGTGTCCGAGAGATGGCCGCTAGCTGGGTGTCCAGATCCTCGGCCGCCAGGATGGTCTCCCAGACAGGCGGCCCATCGTCTTGCTCGGGTTGCATCTCCCGTAGGGCAGCAGGCAGCCGGTCCCCCGGGCACTCCCAATAGGTGTGCCGCCAGGACCCATCGCCGCTGCCACACTCCTCACACCTCCCGCTGAAGAGGTCCGGCCAGGTCCTCTTCAGGATGTGGGGGGTAAGAGTGTTGCGGAGCTGCAACTTCCTCCAGTTGGTTTCCTGCTGTCGGGAGAGCCCCTTGTGGGGCCCGGCCAGGGTCTTCCGTTGGAGCCGAAGGCCCTTCAGGATCTCGCCATAGGTTACGGGGCCTCAGGTGTAGGGTGAGGTCCCGTAACTGTGGTCACCATTGATTGTGAGGAGGCCTGACTCCCTTGTGGAACGGTGATGAAGTGCGCGCACCACGAGTGAGTGGGCCATCTCGTTGCCTGTATGCCCAGAGTGTCCGGGCACCAGGTCAACGTGTGTGTTGCGTCGTTGTTTGCGGGTCTTCTCTTGTACAGCAGGCGCGCCGCTTCTCCAATTCTTCCCCGACTCATGTTGAATAGAGCCGTTCTGGAGTCAGTTGCGATAGTAGCGATCTTTACACCCAGGAGCTCTGCTTACATACGCGCCAGGGCCACAGCAACTTCTTCCGCTACATCTACGTCCGTTGCCTTGAACGAGCGCGCGCCACTGTGTCCGTTTTACCGGCGCGGGGCCCGTAGCGCCATGGGAATGCGCAGCTTCGGTTTACCGGCGCCTAACCGGCGCGGACACGCAGCGCCATGGGGTGGCGGTCGTTGAAAATGACGCGCGGAGGCCAATGGGATACTCGCTCTTTGAAACTATGACGCGCGCTTCACTGCGCTCCATGGGGAGTGGGGAAACAAACTATAGGTCAAGAAGGAAAGTGGAAACTCTTCCCACCTCTTTCCACTTTAGTAGAGCGAACGCTGGAGAGGAGGCGGCTTCCTCTCCTCCGTTCGCTCCGCTGAAGTGGAGAGGGGTGGGTGGAGCTTCTACTTCGTTCTTGACCTGTCACCGACCATAAATGCCCTTTGATTAGGCTTTTCGCGAGGTCTCAAAACTGGGAGCCATCAAATCGCGGCTTCACTTGGAGAAAGGAGTCTAGGTGCCGTTTGGCGCGGCTTCAAAGCTGATAACGTCGGCTCACTCCATTTAACTCGCATTAAAAAAAAAAAAAAAGAAGCTCACGAATGTTGCATTTGACACAAACTGATGGAAGCACTGCTCAGAAACGAGTCTGAAAGCACCAATGATGCCATTTGGAATCGTTATTAATGCGAATTCATTAACTGTCCCACGGAGCGAGCTGACGTTATCAGTTTGGAGCTCGAAAACGGCAGACTGTTTCCGCGATTTCGCTTTCAGTTCCATTGCATGTCGTGCGTCGACGGGGCTCCCATTGGCCACTGCGCTCGTCGGTTTCCACGACCGCTCACCCCATGGCGCTGCGTGTCCATCAGCGCGCGCGCGTCCAAGGTCACCAGGGGAGCACGCACGCTGACCGGCGACGAAAAGCACGCAGCAGACGAAAAAGGGAGCGGACGAGCGGCTCGCATGCTTTCGCATTCACGACTCATAAGTGCTTAGGTCAGGGGCGGATCCAGAACTCCGTTTTGGGGGAGGGGGGGGGGGTCGGAAAATTTGTAAGGATACTATTCTCCCATTCTTTCGTGTCCACGCACGTCTAATTGCCCTCTGAGAAGGGGGGAGAAGGGAGGTCGACTTTGTTTGAGGAAGGGGGGGGAAGGAACCGGCCGCCCTTGTCGCCCCCCCCCCCCCCCCCCCCCCCCCCTTGGATCCGCCCCTCACTTAGGTGTATCTCGCGCTTTTCTGTTCGAAGTTCCGTTGAACGCGTAGGCGATCCCTGGCAATTATAATTCATTTTAGAAGCCTCTATGAGGCTCATCGCTGAAAAATATCGACGATTAAAGAAATGTTTATTCTCCCCCTGGAAGTCTTCACAAACTCAAAACGACAACGGCGAGAAGCGTCGATCACTTCGATAGAGTTTTCCCGCTGCTTCATAGATGGCGGCAGTTGCCTCCATCTATGGGTTGCCGGCAAACGAAGTTAAAAGGCTAAATTTGGATTTTCACATGATTACACTCGAAATAATTGGTCCTAAAACCATCAGTTGAGTTTGAAAAGTGATTCCAAATGGGACAACTGGTCCTGAAAGTGTTAACGAAACGCCCACACCCGGCCACCGCTGACAAGTGAGTAGAGGCAAAGGCAACTAGCTGGCCCCGAGAAGTTCGCGTGGCGTCCCCTTATGGCGAACCGGGGTGACGTCACGGTGAGGACAAAATTTTTCCCCGACTCGCCCCGCCCGCCCTGTGGAGGCTGCGACGACGTTAGCTCTGGGCGCGGTCGTTTCTATTCAATTTTTTTTTTTTTTTTTTTTGCGTGTTTATCGTAGGAGGTGTAAATTTTTATATGCGGCTTCCTGTAGCTCTAGGCGAAACTTCAACCAACATTTCAGGCATGGTTGATAGGGCAGGCAACGGATGAATCGCAGCTGGCTTTACATCTCACACAATAAATGCTGATGATGATCTGAATGAATTGGTAAATTATGTATGCTATTTCGTGTTTTTTTTTTTTTTTTTTGTTTTTTTGTATCTCTGCTTTTAAACAAGATCGCCGAAGCAGAAAAGCTGTATGCTGCTCGAGCAACATGTTAAATACAGTCTGGGCCATGGAGAGAGAATCACAAGTGAGGCAGCCCAAGTACAGGGCGAAAAAAAGAAAGAAGGAACATTTATTTATATACATTGCTCGCCTTTGACCTTTGCTGGATTTGGATAGTATTTCAATGAACTCCACTGGTGGTATATGTGGACTTGTTAATACCGTCCTCAAGTAATGTACAACAAATGTAAGCAAAGGTGTCTAGCCCGTTATTAGTCTGTTAGGCTCTAAATTTGATATTTTAGCTAAATCAAGTTGTCCTGAAGCTAAAATAAAAAAACGCTTTTCTCCCGCAAACTGTCACCCTTCATAGGTTCCACTTTTTTTTTTTTTTTTTTTTTCTACCACTGCAGCATGCACCACTGAACGGCAGTTTGAATGCTTGCTGTTCCTCCTGTTTTCTTCTGTTGTCAGAGAGTCCAGCTTAGGGAGTTTGGAGGCTGAGGAAGCTTTTGGGGAACATGCAGCAGCGTCTATTTCAATTGGAAATGACAATTCAAACTAAACGGTGTATTTTCCGAATACCCAAGGCTGGAATAAAGAAAGGATGTCAGGGAAAAGTATAAAGATTCCGAGTTACAGTACTATCGTCGTTCATCTTTTGGGCAGTTCAATACATCTCATACAAGCAGCTGGGGGCAATTCGGCAGTTTTTACCGCAACCATACAAACTAATTTACAGTAATTGTACCGCTTCTAAATAATAAAATATACCTGCATACGTGTATGAGCTATATCATTAATTCACGAAGAAGCCACATCTATGTAACCAATTCTGTTCCACGAGTACTTCAAAGGTCTCTAGACCCAGGGCCTTTAAAACATCTCGGAACCAGCGCATGCAGCGTAAGTTACACGCGCAGAGTCGGGGTCGTGAGCTAATTTGCCGACCGCCCAAAGGGCCTTGATATAAATGCAATTTGAAATGCCTACAAAGCGGGATGTAATATTCTCATAAATCATGAGCATGCAAGGAACAGAATTTCAGCATCTTAAACACTTACGCCGCCGCTTCACCGACCCCTCGCAAGAGTGCCTTGTGTCGTGTGGACGGACGGGGATGTTCATCGGCGGAATCGCCTCCGCCGATAGCTTTTGGGATTTGTAACTTAGTGACAAGCAGGCTTGTGAAATGTACGGAAGCACGTCAATATCAGCCCAGCGTCTTCTACACCGGGTAAACGAGGTCCCGCTCTTCGAAGTGCTCGCGGCACACAACGCCAAACCAGGAAGGGAAGCGAGCCGGATATGAGATCGCGGAGCGGAGTCCTCCCCCTGACGTCACAGTACACCTCGCCCAATCAGGGCGCGGCGACCGCAGCGACGCTTGTGTTCGCTACAAGTCAAGAAGGTAGGAGAAGCTCCTCCCACAAGCGTGATGCGCCCATTTCAAATCTATCCGCAGTCGAAAGAAGAGTTCACTGGAAACGCTCCTTGTTCCGCTTCAATGGATTCCCACATGTCTTTGATCCCACTTTTTAAGAAAGCGACCTTTGTATTCATTGGAGGGGGAACCGAGCCCGTGAACGCAGCCTTTGTATCCATCGGAGGGGGAAGCTAATCCCCGAAAGTCGTATTTGTTTCCATCCGAGGGGAAAACTCTAATCTCCCTCTCGTGGCTTCCACAATGCTAAGTCAAAGTCGAAATGTAAAGCAAATATGTACAGAAAGGCAAGACCCTCCTCGCGTGTTGGCCGCGACGTCACGGAAACGATGGGATGCTATTGGATGCGGAGGTGGCGGAGGGATATGTATTCCTTTTGAAAGGGGCATTTGCCGCTACCAGAGATCGGCTCGCTGGCCTCTCCGCGCGCCCTGATGCCGTGATCTCCTTTTCTCTCTCAATTTCTACCCGCATAACTTTTTTTTTTTTTTTTTTTTTTTTTGAGACATACACTTTACGAATAAAGTCGAAACTGAAACTAGGTCAAACTGCAAAGAAAAAGCTGTAGACGAGACTTATGGTAGCCAAAACAAGACGACGAGAGCCGGAACAATCCAAATCCGATCCTTGCCGGATCGTTTTGATCTGCCGAGGAGCGTGGTTCAGGTTGGACGTTCACGATCGGTGCCTCTGTAACTCTTACAACATGTCCCAGTTAAAGATCAAGGCTTGTAACCTAATTCTGAAGGAGCACTTCGGCACGGTCGTTGCGGCTGTCGGGGGCTCCCTGTTGAAAGTGTCGTCTCGAAGCCTCCCGCAGCTTTTGAAGAGCACAGATCTGCCCGCTTCCAAGGTATGGACGAGAAGATCATTAATCCCAGCAACCAGCGCTCCTCCGATTTTGGGTCCACGGCACGAAGGGACTGCCGTGCCGAGTGCAGCGTCCCTGAGTTGTAGTTTACGGTGGAAAACACCGTTTTCACCATGGGTGGCTGTGCGCAGCATGCTGACGTTGACACGAAAAACACTCGTCTGAACGAGTGAAGCAAACAACACGAAAAATAACACCAACATTCGTTTTTCTGCACCTTCCTTTCGTTGGGGTCGGTTCCCTTTGCATCTCCATGCTCCAAGCTGGATTGTAACAATACAGGCAAACACGGAGAACATGAGCGTGAGCCGTACGAGGTTATGGTCACTGAAAGGAATAGAACGGCAGGGAGGAGTTACAGTTGTCTCCGCCTCCTGCGCGAAATTCCTACCTTCGATAACGCTTCAGCGTCTCGTCGCCCCGAGCGTGCTCGCGCAGCCGAAGCACGACGGAAAGCAACGAGCGCCTGCTCGAGGCCGGGGAACGGAAAGAGACGCCAAACTATAATATAAAAAGACAAAAAAAAAAAAAAAAAGGTCAAAATGTTATTGTTTATATACCTTGTTCCCCTGTGACCTCCCTTCTTCCCATCTGTTTGGTTCGCCATTACTCTTACACCCTAGGCTCAGGGCTGAAGTTACTCCCCTCTATCTGCCATTCGTCTGCTCTCGCATTTTAGCTACAATGCCCTCAAAAACTGCCCTCGATTTCTGTCTGACGACGTCTTGAAAGTGTCACGCTGTTGCTTGTCGCAGCGGCGTAGCACCGACAGAGGTGGGTGCGGCGGGCAACTTTTATGCTGCAGGTGATGCTGCAGTAGTTCGCTCGACTTTTTTGCCGCCGTCTCTATGACCAGCAGCTGGGAGCGCAACATCCGACAGCGTGACACAACAATTTGTTGCACCTTGGGATCACTTTCATCACTGTGCGGACGAGATAGGCCATAAACACGCCAGTGAAAGACTCGTTCCAAGGGAACCTAAAGTTTAGCTCCACGTTCCGAAGCAAGGGCGTTACCAGACGAGCCTGCGGGTGGTTCGTGGACTGCTTGTGCCGAACGCCACCACCTTGTTGCAGGTGAAGAAAGCGCTGATGGTGTTGATCCACCACAACATAGTGGACTTCCGGTTGCATCCCAAGGGCTACGTGGAGTACATCATCGATGCGGACCGTGTGCTGTACATGCTTCGGTACCCCCGCTACACGCACTGCGCCAAGACGCTGTAAGTGTGGCGTTCTTCCGTAGCTCTTGGAGCTTCTTAGAGCTAGAGCCAGGGCCAGGTTGCAAGGAAAAATATGAATCCATTTACTTGGTTCGGTTGTGCATTGGATACTATAGATTGCTTGTGAAATGACACCCGTCTGGCTCGAACTCTCGCGAGATTGTACGTTTGTGAACCTATGCCCTTCATTTTCCTATGTGCGGAGAGAGTGTTTTTCAGTGCGCTTTTGGGGATATCAACCTTACCGACCTCAGCAGTCGGCGACACGAAGGGGCATTGGCTGGTTCTCAGTGTTCGCATATAGTGACCGTCACTCAGAGTTAAGGCAAGCCGGAGATTGAGCAGTCAATTTGTGAAGCGGCTGGAATGCTTCCGGCAAATGCGCTACAATAACTTTGAAAGGGAAAAAGACGGAGTAAGCTAGGTAAAACAAAGTTTTTGTGCTGGCTAAATGTTTTCTTGATAACGCTTCTCTAGTTCCGTTGGCGGCAGAGCCTCCGCCTATGTGTTTGTGAGATTTATGAACACCAAAAGCGACGCTAATGAAGAGTCACTTACATGCAGACGAATTGTAAAAAAAGACAAAAAAATTCACCGGCGTGGTTGCGCCAGATCACCGAGAGTGAAACGGCCTTTTATGAAACTGCCCTCGCCCTATAAGCAGGGCTGTGTTATTGTTATAATTTCTGGGGTCATGTTTGCGTGTGACACAAACTGAGATGGGTATTTATTGCTCCAAAACGTGAGTATTGTAGTGACTGACAGTTAGAGAATAACAGGGCATGGCTCATTATGTCTAGACTTCATGCTTCGTAATTCGTTCTTTGGCATTCTTATCTGCTACCGAAACAATCTTATTGGCTTGAGAGCGATAATAATATGTTCAGGGCTCGCCACACCCGTAATTGCTTAATTCTCGGCAACTGTAGTGATTGCACGAGCAGACATGCAAAGAAAACTATTTGGTTTCAGATGGAACTTGCCACAAAGGTACAGTTTGCCAAGGGACCAAGAAACATTTTTCATTAATTTAGCTCGAGTGGTATTGTGTATTGCAGGACAAATCACACAGGGAGGTACCTTATGTGGCAGTGCCGTTGCAGAAATTTTTTTTTTTGGGGGGGGGTGGGTAAGGATAAGGATGAGGTGAGGTGCCTGGGCCTCGGATGTCTCTGACCTGGGGTGCAAGGGAAGGGGGGAGGGGAGGGGGGTCAAAATGCATGTGTATGTTAAAGGGTCGGCCAGATTTCGTGAGGGTATACACCACTGTTGTATGGAGTAGGCTTCCACACTTTGCAGTCAGGTTTTCCTTGCACAGACGGGCATTTCATAAGTTGCTTGCATCGTTCGGAAAACAACAAACACCGTGTTCGAAGAAGTTCTTGAAATTTGGCGGCAGATCTCCCTGAAAGGGGCTTCTCGATTCGGCAAGTCTTGTGCAGCATTTTTGAAAAGCTGTACCCATCTTGGGCCTATGAATCTGGCATCTTTTTAACAGACGAACTGGCGGGGTGTAGGGCTCGTGGAAAGTTTGCAGGTTTTGTCATTTTTTTATCCTCAGTACCCCTAGGAAATTGCATTGAGTCATGCATAGCATCTGCATTTCTTTCCCATGTTTATCTCTAATTACGGGAACCTTAATCCCATCCTGTTGATTAGCCCTTTGGCTACTAATCTTGAGTGTCACTCATGCTGTCAATTACGGACCAGAAAGCCTGACCACAAGTCTGGCACATTTTGGGTTTTGGAGCGTGTTTGTGCGTATCCAACAGATGGCAGTGCTACCACCACTGCTCCGCCCCCTTCCAGTTAATCTGTTGTCTGTTTTTAATTTCACTAAAAAAAAACTATTTCTAAGGAAAGAAAATTTGACATCTACAAGCCCAGGGGAAGGTGACATGACCTCAACTTGAAGGTCCGCTTTAGCTGATGAAGAAATACGGTTACTCTTTGCTCAGCAGAGATGAGTGCAGTACTGTTTCCGGTGATGAGTCATACCACCTCTCTGATGTCTCGGACGGAACCTTTGCTTAAAATCAGCGTTTGGCTCAAAAATTAGAGGAAACATTCACTCTGTCTCCAGATGACGTCTGTGGCTCTCCACCTTCCCAAGTGTTTCCAGCAGTACTACAGAACTGAATGGACTCATCACACATGAGATGGTCAAGAATGAATAGAGCAGCAAATACCATGTGTAAACTAAGTGAATGTTCCCGTTTTGAATAGAACTTTGTAAAAAAAAATTTTTTAATAAATTAGTATGTTGTATATTGCATATTATGTTGTATTATGATTTATATGTGTATATTCATCTGTGTAGCCGTGTTCACCCTCTAATCTCTAACTTGCTTTACATTACTGATTGTTTTTTCACTGAATCCCCAACTAACTTATCATCATCTCTCTCTTTTTTTGTGCTTATAAACAACAATTGTCAGTAATAAAGCTCAGTTTAATTTAATGTAAGTGGCACTGAGATAAATAAAATGCCCATACATACAGTGTGAGTTTTAAAACTTTGTAACCACCCTACTAAAGTTCCCAATGGAACTGGTAGTATTACTAA